AGTTGCACGAACCAATAAGTATCCTTCCTTGCTTGAGATGGTTCAAGTTCGGTTTCTGTCTCTTGCAGTTGAATAATGGGAGTGGGGTCTCAGAGGCTGTTAGGGGATGGTGGGTCCCCTCCAAGAGATATTCCCCTACTCCACCCCGTAGTCCAGGTGGTGCCAGCTTTGTGGTGGGTTGTGGACTGAGCAGCCACTAGCGTGGAGCAGAGAGACAGGCAGCCTCAGGACCCTAGAAGTCATGGTGTTGAGGATGGTCAACCGTGGTAATGTTGAGGCTGAGGTGGCAGGCCTGAGTTTGATTGTTGCAATTTGATTGCTGTCCTGGGGGCAAAGATATGCCCAGCCCCACCCCAGCCCAGAGGTCCCAGGCCAGACCTAGGTAATTGGGTCCTAGGCTGATTTCTCTAGGCCTGGGCCTGGAGATGTCAGTATGAGGTGAAGCAGAGCAGAGCTCAGGATAGAAGGTTCACTCCCTCAGACGATGAAGCTGCCTGTCCCTCCACCATTCACACCCAGATCCTGGTGGGCCATGTAGGTGGATATGGATGGGAACACCTGAGCATGGGGGTGGGTGGCACAGGAATGTGAAACATTGAGCGTATATGTGTGAGCTTCAGGTAAGGGAGCACTAGTGTGTGTGCACCAAAGCTGGCTGAGCAAAGTGGACAAAACCAGGGAGGTAGAAGCCAAGTGATGCTGCATATGTGTGTGTCTGGGGGTGTCTCCAGGAACTCGGTGTGGGGGACCCTGTATGTACATGTGTGGGCTTGGCTGGTGTGACAGTGGATGTGCCACAGGGTGGTATGGGGCCATATATTGTATCAACCCTCCTCTCTCCCTCTTTTGGGTACTGCCTGCTGCCCATGTGTGACAGATGCTCTTGGTGCCTTGTCCAGAGCTGTGGACCTTGACATGCTACTGCCTGTGGGCCCAATGGTGGCTCACACAGACCATCATAATGGCTTCTTCTGCTAGCATAGCAACTCCCCTGCCCAAAGACTTTCTCTGACCAGAGGAGCCCCCTTGGCTTGCCCCAGAGACAGGAATCAACATTCTCCAAAGAGCAGTCTCCAAATAATGAGAGCTGGTGTATAAACAATTGGTTCCCTCACCCCTCAGGGGGGCTAACTTGGAGGTGTGTTCTGCCCTGTCTCTCAGACTTGCCAGTGGGACAGAGTTCGGTGACTCACAGTAGTCACCTGATGACCCACAGTAGTCACCTGATGACCCACAGTAGTCACCTGCCTGATGACACCCTCGCTGGCTTCCTTCCTTTCTTGAGTCCCTGCTGCACTTTCTGTGGTGCTCCTGGGATCACCTCCCTAACTAATTCATTGCAAGTTCATCTTCGTCCCAGGGTCTAGCCCTGGTCCCTCCTGTCCCCATGTCCCAGCGATGTGGCTTCAGCTCCTGTCTCCTTGGGACCCTGATGAGCCCAGGCTGAGCCCAAGTACCTGGGGTATTCTCTTCAGTGCCCCCACCCTCCCAGGCCTCTGGCTCAGAGAGGCCAGTCTCCTAGTAGGTATGAGCAGAGGACCTCGAATGTGGTGCCATACGTTGATATACCATAGCACAGGGCATGTCATGGGTGGAGGACAGGAAGAGTCGCGAGCCTGAAAGTCCCAAAGGCTCATGGGATCCTGAGTCTCTGCTGTTGGAGCTGGGTGTCAGTGTGGGGTGGTTCAAGTTGGGGAGAGACAGCATGGGGGTAGACATTGTCATCATGAAGGCTTCTACATTCATTCCTAGGAGGAGCAGCCCAGGGCAGGAGGTAGCCATGCTTAGTGGCTTTCAGGACATAGGCGTGATTATTTGCACACAGAGAGGGAAGCACAGGTAAGACTATGTCCAGAGAGAAAGAGGGTTATCGGGGGTTAGTCCCTAAAATGGAATGCTTGGCTGGGTTTACCCTCTTGGAACATCTCAAGGGTGGAAGACAAGCCCAAGATCAACATGATAAATTTTGTCTACTGCTGAGTGTCTGTGGGTAAGTGGGTTTCAAGGTGGAGAAGGGAGGTTGCTCCTTCTTCAAGGCCTGACTTGTCTGCTTTGAACACTGGCAGCAGGAAACCAGCAGGTGGCAGTGTGGGTTCGGAGTGGGGGTGGTGGGCCTCAAAGCCTGCCTAGGACCCTCCAGTGGGGACGCTGGCCCGGAACGTGGAAGGAGGAGCCTGTGCTTCTCAGCCTCAAGGTCATCTTCCCCTTGGCCTCATCCTCCTTCAGGATCGCACCCCACTTTCAGGGCACTTGAGGGTCTAGGGCTATGCTA